TCAAGACTCTATAACTTGGTTAGATAATTTTGAGCAAGCAGCTAAAGCTAATAGATAGAATGCTGCTCGACAACTTGAACTTGTATCTGCTTATCTAACTGACAATACTCAAGAATAGCTCCAAAGTTTAGTCAATGCCTCTACTTATTTTAGACATCAACAGTATAGACGAGTAGTTGATAGAAATAATATCTATAGTTTTTATCACTTGTTTAGAGAAAGATTTTGCACTACTCAACAAAAAGCTACTTGGCAAAAACAACTATTTGCTATACAACAAAGATCAGATACAGTTGATATCTATATTAACAATTTTAAAAGAGTAAATTGATCCAAAAGATAATTTCTTAGCTAGTTTCCTCACTCAACTCTTTGTACAAAAACTTCAACCAGAGTATTCAGTAAACGTCCAAGTCTCAGAACCTGTGAACCTAATAGCAGCAATAACTGCAACATGACAATCGAAAACTGGAATACTTATGGCCTCTAATACAAATTCTAGTACAGATAAAGCTATCAAACAACTCACTAAACAAATCGCTGAACTAAGCATAAACCTAGCTGAGAAACAGACTACCCCTACTTCTAAACCAATCTACTACTCAAATAACTTGAATAGGAACAGATTTGATAACAATAACCAATAGAATCCCACTTGCTATTATTGTAGAAGTAAAAGATATTACATTGAGATTGTTGCAAACGAAAAGAAGATTTTAGATATGATTCCCATTCTAATTCTCAACCTAGTCCCTACAATAGTTCCCACTCTAACAATAACTATAGGTCAGATAATAGAAGGAATAGTGACTAATATTATGATCATTCTCGATCTCAAGAAAGAAACAGATCATATGATGACAACAGACGCTATAGGAATAATAATAGAAATAGAAGTCAAGAAAGAAGTTGCTCAAGAGATAGATACTGAAATAGAAACAGATATAACAATAGCAGAAGCAGATCCTGAAGCTGATCCTCTACTTCTTACTCTAGAGAAGCTTATGCTGCAGACCTCGTTAATTATGATTATGAACAATTTGAATTATATTTCTTTAACAAGTTATTACAAACTACCATAGAAACTTATTTTGCTACTCTCTCTCCTAACACTACTATTCAGATCTTAACTCATACTACATCTGTAAAATATAATATTAAAATTAAGAATAAATCCTATCAAGCTATTATCAATACCGTAAATCGCCGTATACAAGATCTGGGTCTGTTACATTCCACCAATTTTGAAACTTACAATAGACCCGTGGGTCTATTGTACAGGTATGGGTCTGATGATCGGGAAGGTTTTATGTGGGGGGTCTGATGATCGGTAAGTGCATTGTGCGCTATAAAAAGTTTGTTTGGAATTTTCTTTTTTTTTTTTTTTAGCGTTGCTCAAACTATAATTTATATGACATAGTGAAGAACTAGAGCGAGTTCAACTTTATAGTATTACCAAAAGTGAATTCGAGCTCAGTAATTTCTAACCAGTTCAAAAACTTTCAATGATAGGGAAGTTAATAAAGAGGCTGCAAGTGCGATTACAAAAGAACAACTTTTTTTTTTTTAAAAAAAAAAAAATTAAATAAAAATGCAAAGAATCTTTTGAGAGCCTAACGAATCATTAAAAATAAACCAAAATGATACAAATATATTTAAGTTATCATTTTATTTCATTAAGATTAATGTCTATACTATCTTAGACTTTAACTTTTAAATAACCTATCAAAATTAAACACTAGACATTTAGTTATCTTCTTTAAAAACTTTACATGTCGGGCAACTATGTTTAAGTAGTTTGTCCAAGGCGTGATTATGGGGTATACAAACATCAGTATGGTATAATTAACTTATTAGCATAATCTAACATGTGTAAAATTTACTTTACTGTTCTTCATATATATTACATAGTTAAAAAAATTTTACACTTTACATTTCTATCGTGATTCAAGTTTTAGTAAAAAGGTAGCGGATAAATTTTATTAAATTAAAGTGAAAGTATTAATGTGAAAATAAAATAGTTATTAATATATATTTAAGAGTCAAAAATGAGACGTAGTAAAACAGGTTTAAAACAAGCAAACATCACTAAAAAAAAAAAGAGAAGTTGGAATGCTCGCGAAAAATTGGCAATTGTTACGTACCTCGAAAGAAATCCCATGGCAACTAAACGAAACACTGCAGAAAGGTTCAATATAACTCCAAAACAACTACGAGAATGGATAAAAAAAAAAACTGAATTAAAAAGTGCACCACCCGCTATTAGACGGTTAAATATTGGTGGATGATCTAAGTATCCACTTTTAGAAGATGATCTTAAAACCTGGGTTAAATCTTTACGTTCACGACAAAAGATCGTATCTCGTTATATGGTTAAAACTAAGGCTAATCAACTTGCAAAGCAATCACATTTTCTTTCACTTTATCCAACGATCAACGAATGCAAGTGGAGTAACAAGTGGGTTGATGGTTTTATGCATCGTAATAATTTTAGCAACCGCCGCTGTACTACTATAGCACAAAGGTTACCAGAAGACTTAGAACCTAAAAGAGATGAATTTTTGAGTAACATATTATATCATCGCATGCGCTACAATTATCCTCTTGCACTTATTGGTAATATGGATGAAACTCCATTAGCATTCGATATGCCTAGCAATTATACGCTTGAAGAAACTGGTGCCCAGACTGTTGGTATCTGTACAACTAGTTATGAAAAGTCAAATTTTACAGTTGTTTTAAGTTGCTTAGCAGACAGAATCAAGCTTCCCCCCATAATACTTTTTAAATTAGTAAATGTACTACGACAGGCATTTCCACAGGGCATTGTTGTACGAGCAAATCCAAGTGGATATATGAATGGTGACGAAATGATTTTTTGGATTGAAAATATATGGAACCGTCGAGCTTCTTTGTCTATCAATCCTCGTTCATTATTAGTTCTAGATGCATTTAGTGGTCATCTTACAGACTCGGTTAAAAACCGATTTAATGAGAAAAACACTAACATGGCAGTCATTCCAGAAGGACTTACTAAGAAATTGCAACCATTAGACGTATATATTAATAAGTCCTTTAAAGATAAGATAAATAAATAATTTTTATTTTTTAAAAAAAAAACTTTGTATACTAACTGGGTTTGAAAGAAAAATTTCCAAGAGCTCATAACACTTTTTTTTACTGAATTATTATAAAATTTTAAAATTTAGGTTTGTTTTATTCAAAACTCATTCTTATATATATTTCACGGCTTTATTTTCTAAAAAAAATTACGTATGATTATGAAATTATTACCTAATTAATGAATTACGTAATAAGATTCTATATGAACTTGATTTCGCATATTTTTTTTTTTATTTTTTAACTAAATTTTATACCTTAATATCTCATGAGTTAAAATGTTAATTTTTTGAAGGTGGGTAAAAATAATATTTTCGTACAGTACTTGCATAACTATCATTTTATAAGTTTTTAATTATATATTTATTTAAGTATCGCAAATTCTATCTCGATTGGATGAGTAAAGAGATTAAAAAACTGACTCGTACAGGCCGTATCCAATGACCTGCTTATAATTTGGTGGCTGAATGGGTAATAAAATCATGGAACCAAGTTGATCCCGCTCTTATAAAACGTTCATTCAAGTGTTGCAGCATCTCCACTGCTCAAGATGGAACCGAGGAAGATTTAATGTTTAATTATGACTGGGTTAATAACTCAGAAGCTCGTAATAGAAATAATGAATTTATATATGCTAATGAGGATAGCGCAAGTGATGATGAAAGTATTGTTAACTTGACCCAAAACGATAATAATGATAATGATAATGGTGGCAGTAATATTGACGATTACGGTGATAAAGATGATGGCGATGAAAATGGTGATAGTGACGATGATAATGGTAAAGATGATAGTGATAGTCTGAGTGAAGATGAAGATGAAAATAATCATAATGAAGACTGTGATAAAGACACATATTATGATGATGAAATGGCCGAATACGTTAATTCATGGGATTAGGAATTTCCCAGCTTATAATTTTAGAATAGGTCTTAATTACAGAATAACAAAGAAATATTGTATGATCTAACACATAAATAATCAATTTTAACAATTCATTAAAATAATGTGCCGATATTGGCAATTTGCTTCACAGTGGACGATTATGAAAAGATTTAACAATTTATTGGATAAATTGCCGTATTATGGGCATATATAAATTCGATTTAAATAAAAATTTATTTTTCTTAACCACAATTTCAATAATGCAACGATGGTACCAGCATCCAACTTGATCAGCAGCGCTAATTTTACAGTAAGCCAAATAAAACTCCTAAAAGCTACCATAAAGATAAATATATAAAAAATGAAAGCATCAGAAATTGAACTTGTTAATTTATGGGCATTAGGAAATAGAGTCTATTACATATAATTTTCCGAATTACTTATATGCATTAAAACTTTATGCACTATGATTATGAGACACGAAGAAACCTATAGTATAATGCGCGAATACGAAGGATCACTTGCAGATTTAAATAGTTCATTAAACTTTAAATTGTGAAGGATTAGTATTAAATAGTGTTGTCATTCGGGCAATGGTTTAAATTTTGTTGGAATTGAATTTCGAAAATATGTACCGTTATAAGCTAAGTGCTGGACTATCTGGCAGACAGTTTGTACAATACTGGCATTGAGAAGACGTGAATAAAGATTTATTTTTTTTTTTTTTTTTTGTCAGATATTATGCAGTTATATGTTCTAGATATCATACCCGGGTCTTTTAACATTTACACCCAATTTATATACCGGGTCTTTTAATATTTATGATCTAGTTATAGACCCGGGTCTTTTACACTTTACCAAAATTTTGACCCACATAATAGACTCAGGTATAATACCTAGTGGATCTACTATCAAGGGGGGTCTTGTATATAGCGATTTACGGTAGCAATGCCTCAATTAGTATGATCTCATATCAGATTGTTAAAGAATTAGGACTTAAGATAGATACTTGCTCTTCTAGCTTAATCCTATCAGCCACAGGACCCTCTATTAGACCTTTAGGAATAATCAAGAACCTCCTAATAGAAATTGAAGGAGTAACTATTCCAATAGATATAGAAGTTATGGATACTACTTCTTATTCTTTTCTTCTAGGCAATGACTAGTCTCAAAAAGTTAAAGCTACCTACAACTGGAAAAATAGTGTCTATACTTTAAAATAGAATAATAAGAAAATTCATGTTCCTACCACCTATGAACAATACTAACCTTTACCTACTCAACTAACTGTAAAGAAATAGCATGAATTAAACTAATTTGAATAGGAATTCTTATTTTAAAAAGAAGCTTATACTCTAACAGTCACAGATTTAAAAACTGATAACTAACCTTGGATAACTCTGACTCCTAGACTCAGAAATAGACCTTCTATAAGTAATCGATACAGAAGATATGGAAACTGCTATTCAAATGAACATATCTTTGCAGAATGCCCTGATAACTAGTACAATAGATACAAAAGACTAGAACATATCTCTAAATATTGCTCTTACAATTCACCAAAGCTAAATTATTGTAAAGTATGTGACAGCACTAAGCATCAATATACTAATTGCCCTTATAACTATTGCTATCAATACAATGAGCTAGAACACATCAGTATTCATTGTCCTCTTGCTCTTCTCAAGAAAGATAACCAGCAGTATAAATGTGGATATAGCTGAGATGAAGTAGAAGATAGATGAATGGTTTACTATAGCTGTAAAAGAATAAACTATTGTTGTAGATGCAAAACTCCTCAAATACTAGAAGATATTTACCTCTTTAATGATACCCTAGTATGCAAGATTTGTTGAACTGATTTTTACTAACAACTTCTAAGAGAAGATCTATGAAGTATAGAATATTTCACTAATGGTGATGGACAAGGCCTTCTCACTAAGTATACTCTTTTTCAAGAAGAACATATTAGAACTAAAATATATAAGTTGAATACAATTCAAAAAAATTCTTAGTTTTGTAACCTAGAATATTTTTATGCATATAAAGTAGCTCAAGATATAGAATAGAATCCTAACTATAATCTATAGACCCAAATACGCTACTACACTGAATCTACTAGAAATGCAGGATATACATATGATCTTAATCAAAGTAGAATATTTTGCCTTGCTAGGGTCAAGTTAGGTCAAAGTCATCAGAATATTAGAGAAGCTCTAGAACCTCAAATGAATGACTAATCTAATCAGAACTACTCAGATAATGATATTAGCATAATTATGAGAGTACCATATATAACTCTCTTGAAAACAGAACAAGGAATTCTAGATTGAATCCTACAAGAATTCTTTGACCAATCTCACTCTGAATTTGATTACTATAAGGCAATAGAAAATCTCCAAAAAAATTTCAACAATAGAGTAGCCCTATGTAAAAGTTGCTTTATGCCTAAACAAAAAGCAGAGCTCGAACAATATGAAGAATATTGCCAAGAATGTCATGAAAAATTATATCCTAAATCTCAACTAGAACCTAAAACAGAAACTCTATCTGAAGACCTCTCTACTCAATCTGAATTGCTTCCTCAAACCTAAGTTCAACCTGAACCTGACCAGAATGAACTCATCAAATTATTACAACAACAGGTCGAACAACAGGCCTAGATTATTACTCTTCTCCAAGCTCAAGCCAAGACCTTTAAATTTCAGACTCAGACTATTAAAACCCTCTAGCACAAAGTTAATAGTTTTGAAAGATTTCATCAACAAATAGAACATTTATATTAGGAACAATTTTTACAAGTAGATAGTGAACAGTCTACTACTTCGACCTCCTCCTTAAATTTTTAAACTATCCCAAGCAAGATGAAAAACTACTTAGTGATTCAGATGAACTTCTCTTTGAACTTGAAGCTTTAGAATCAGCTCTAAATAATAATTTATAAAAGAAAGAAATATATACAATTTCTCAAGAAATAGCTTCAAAAACAGGAATGTTAACCTCAGACCAAGAAACAAAATTTAAACGACTACTTAAAGAATTTGCAGATCTCTTTGCAAAAGATATTACTCAACTAGGAAGAACTAACCTAGTAATGTATAAGATATATACCAAAGACATACTTCCTATAAGTTCTTGACCTTACTTAGTATCTATTACTGAACAAGTCTTTATTAATGAAGAAGTACAATAGATACTTGATAACAACTTAATTAGAGAAACTACTAGTCTATAGGCATCTCAAGTTGTTTTAGTTATGAAAAAAAATAGAAAGAAAAGATTTTGCATAGATTATAGAAAACTTAATGCAATAACCAAGAAAGACTCTTATCTTTTTCTCCACATAGATGAACTTTTAGACTCCCTTGCAGGAGCTATATATTTTTCTACTCTCGATCTTATGAGTGGATATTGGCAAGTAATGATGCA